TTGGTACTTATTCTAATAAAATCCACTTTTTTGGGGGGTAAATATTTTTAAAAAATCTTCTTAAAAAATCCTGGATTTGGAAGTCTTTGAAAAAATGTTTTAAGAATATATATCGGTATTAATCGCATTGGAGGTATTTGAGAGATTATTTAAAAAAAAAAAAAAAAAACTCTGACCCCAATATATCCTTATAAATCCTCCTAAGAATGTACGTTTCTGTCTTGAACACCTTTGTAAAATATTCTTTAAAAAATCCATGTCCGACATTTTGACTTTGAATTTCCATGAAGAGCTATTTTTATAACTTCTAAAAATCCTTGAAGAATTCTTCCTAAAAACACGATGATAGCTTTTTTTTTTTAAAAAAACCAACATGAAAATCTCCGGAAATTCTTCAGGATATTTGTAGGAGTGAACATTTTCGGTTTTTCGTTTTTGAAGTCATTGAAGGAAGTTTCTTTAAAATCCTAAGAATTTCACATTTCTGTGGATCTATTCCAAGATTTTAAATTGAAAAGAAAAATCCTTTGAAGTTTTTATTGAAAAAATTCTCTGTGGATCCTCGTTGGCATTTTTTCCCCAAAATGGCTCTAAGGTTCCTGAAAAAAATATTTATAATTTTTTAAACGACAGCCCTAAAAGCTTTAAAATGTTTTTTGTTTTTAAACTAAATGTTTAGTTCTACAAATATTCTTAAAAAATTTTCGTTGACAGAAAAATTCTTAAAAAATCAGTGTTTTGGTCCATGCAGATCCTTTAAAGAAATATATCCTTTAAATATCATTATTTATGGATCTCTTCATCCTCGACAAAGAAAAAAAAAACTCAAGTGACACTGTTATATTATTCCTTCAAAAAAAAAAAAAAAAAAAATAAATAAATAAATAAAAAAAAAATTCTCTAAAATTCTGTCATCCCATTCCCTGCACACCCTTTCCCGGAGACGTAAAACTTCAATATTACATGATTTACTATTACTGCCGTAGCTTGTATTACAACTACTTTGTAACTTTAGATCTGTTCCGTTGATGTTCGTGTTTTTTTTATTTTTCATCCTAGCATCCTCTTCTTTTTTCCTGAGCTCATCATCAGCAGCAGCAGCTAAAACTTCCCTTGGCAACCTTTAAACATTGTATGATAGGGTAATTTTAAGTTTGTTTTTTTTTTCTTCTGCTGTGTCAGGAATATACATTTTCAAATAGAGTATCAAATAATATTGATTGAAAGCCGAGAGAGAGATAAAATGCATTGGAATTTTTAGAAGAAAATTTCTTTGGAAATAGCTGAAAATTTAATCAAGGATAATGGTAAGTGAGTGCCAGGACTTTAAGGAATTTTTCAGAAAAAAATGTTTGTTTATTTTTTATTTCATGGGAATTTTAATATTGACTTGTGCAATTTTCAGTGCGGAATTTTTTGTTTTTATTATTTTGGACAGTGGAACCTAGAAATATCTGGAGAGAGAAAAAAGAGATTTTAAATTTTTCCCCTTTCAACGGCATTGAAGAAAAATTCTTTTTCAGTTTTAATTTAAAAAATTTCCAAAATTGCTGAGTTTTTTGTGAAAGGATATCTAATTAAGGACATAAGGACACTAAAAATTTCTCAAGAAAAATGTTCTCTAGAACTCAACTCAAAAATAATGCAAATTTTTACGGCTTCTCCGCATTCCCTCTTTAGAATTTAATCCCTCCCTCCCTGGATCCTCTACCCCACAATCTTCCCAACTATTAGTCTCCAGGGTGTTTAAATCAGGTTATACACAATCTGCTTGTTCTCCATTCTCGTCTTGTTCTCCGACTCGTCATCCTCATCTTCTTCATCTTATCCTTTTCATAATTGTATTTCTACATAACTAATTCATGTTTGTTGTCGTTGTTGTTGTCGTTATTATTGCCCGAAGGACTTTTACTTGGAATTTCACCTTTTGTCCGATTTATGTTAAGTTTGAAGAAAGAAAATCCATTGGACACTTGAGTAAATCATTCATGTATTCAAGATTTCTATTCTTCAACACGAACACACACACCCACCCTGAAATCTGAGGTGGGGAGGATGATTCTGCCTCTCTCTCTCACTGCAGATGTTCTGCCATAAATTTTAAGAATTCATTTGAATTTCAATTGCCATTTTTGTTGAGGTAAATTGAAAGCAAATCATAAATAAATAATAAATATATTAAATTAAAAACTAAATGTGTGTGCGTGAGTTTGTGTGTGTGTTTCTATGTTTATGTAAATGAAGTGAAAAAATGATTTCTTTTTTGTTACAAGTGGCACAAAATGAAAGATAAGAGATATAAACATTTAAGGACTCTTGAGAAAAAATTGCAGAAAAATTGGAATTCAACGAATTTTTAAAGGAGAGCTATTAGGCGGATCCTTAAACACACATACACGCATATATGAAAGACACAATTAATAAAAAAAAGGGAACAAGGATTAACAGAGCAACACGAAATGGATTTTTATGGATATTTTTTGAAGGGCCCAGAGATTAAAATTCGTAGATTTTTTTTTGGCCGTAGATTGAATATCGTGGATTATTTAAGAATATATTTGGAAGGGCTCGCTGATTAAAAATCGTGGATTTTTAAGGATATATTTCAAAGTTATCATCGCAGAATTTTCAAATTCCTCAAAGACGAATATTATTCCAAGAATATTTTCCAAAGAAAGCCTTTAAAAAAATCGAAGAACCTATGTGGATTCTTCAAGGATACTTTCGTATCAATCAATTTTATTTTTTAAGAATTTTATTTTTTTAAGAATATTTCTTCAAGGGCCAGCACGGATTTTTAGGAAAATTTCTTCAAGAACAAAGGTGGATTTTTCAATGATATTTCTCTAAGGATATTAAGAGCTATTAACGTGGCTTTTTTGGGAATATATTTTCAACGAAGAATGTGGAATTTGGAGAATATTTCTTCAAGGATATAGTTTTAAGGATATTTTGAAGAGATTTTTTCTAAAGATATTGATTAGGGATATTTTTAAAGGATTAGAAAATACATCAACAATGATTTTTTAGGATATTTTTAGAGGACCAGCTAATTCTTAAACCTAGAATTTTTAAGGACATTTCTCCCAGGACGTTCTAAAGGACTAGCAAATATGTAAATAGTGATTTTTTAAAGATTTTTTTGGAGGACAGCTCCTTAAACCTAGAATTTTTTTCTTCAGGACATTCTGAGTCTTAATCGTGATTTTTAAAACTCATTTTTTGAAGAACTCGCAGACAAACATTCGTGGATTTTTATGAAATTTTTTGAAAGACCCAAACGATTTTAATGGATTTGCATTTAAGGATATTTTTCGAAGGACTCAAGTATAGACTTGTTAAAAAATATTTTGTTGAAGAAACAGGATGTTTCTAAAGTATCAGCAGACATGTAATCCTAGATTTTTTAAGGGTATTTTCTCAAGAACTTTCCGAGCCTCTATGTTGATTTTTTAAGGATTTTTCTTTAATACCCTTAATCAAACAGGGATTCATAAGGATTCATAAGGTTCATAAGGATATTCTTTCAACTGCATTTCTCAAAGTACGAAAGCATAGATTTTTTAGGAATTTTTTAGAATCAACAAATCTGAAAGATTCCAAGCATCAATTGTGAATTTTGAAGAATAGACCACAAAGCATTGATTTTTAATGACATTTGTACAAGTCTTAAGCATGGATTTTAAGGGATATACTTTGATATACTTGTAGAACACCCAGCATGGATTTTAAGTATATCTTGAAAGACCCACGGATGGACTTTTAATGGCATTTTTGAAGGACCCAATAGTAAATTTTCCGATGATATTTTAACTCAGATAATTGTTAACCCTAAATTCTGATTTTTAGAAACCCGCATGTCACCATGGATTTATAGGATCTTTTTTATTTATTTATTTTTTTTTTTTTTTTTTGAAAAAGACCCAAGCGTAGAATTTTTTGAGGAATTAGCGAATAAGTTAATCTGAATTTCTTTTGAAGGGTAGGCGGATGTAAATCTGGATTTTTAAAGTATATTTTCTCAAGGACTTTTTGAGCCAAAGTCGTATTTTTTTAATAAAAATTGGAAAGGTCTTAGAAAATGAATTTGGGAATTGGAATTTGAGAATTAGAAAAATATTTCTTCAAGGAACTTAATTTTTTTGGATATTTCCAAACTCTCTCCCAATCGGAACCAGGAATAAAGATTTCTTATTTGTACATCATCAGAGATATTTAGAGCAAAAAAAAAAGATTTTTAAGAATATTTCTTTAATGATCAACGTGGATTTTTAAGTAATCTCATTCAAGGACCTCCAAGACTTTTCGGAAAATATTGCATCAAGGACATATCTATCATCATGGATGTTCCTTAAGAACGAATGTGGATGCATTAAGGATATTTTTTCAAGGACAAGTGTGGATTCTATTGTGATATTTCTTTAAGGACGAATAAAGAGGTTCAAGGACTTTCAGAGCTATCACTTGGGTTTTTTTTTCTAAAAATATTTCTTTTAGGATTTTCAGAGGAATTAAAAAGGATTTTTAAGAACATTTTTTCAAGGGCCGGTAGAGAAATCAACGCGGATTTTTTAAGAACATATTTTCCATATTTCTAGGTGGATTTTTTAAGTTTTTTTTTTAATGACCAACGTGGATTTTTAAAAATATTTCATGAGGGACTCTCAGACCTATCAACATCGAAAATATCCAATAGGACTTCAAGGACTTTCAAGAATATCAATATGATCTTTTGGAATATTTCTTGGAGATCTTTCAGAGTTCTCAGGAGTCAGAGTTGGTTTTTTTGGAATTTTAAAGAATTTTTCTTTATGAAATTCGATTTCTTCTCCGATTTCTTGATAAATGTTGATTTTTTTTAAAAAATTCGCTCTAGAATCTAGACCATTCTGAATTAGAAACAAGAGTTCAAGGCTGTAGATTTTTATGCTTTTTAATCAACTATTTTAGTACACAGTTTAGAATATGCATCATATTGTTCGTTGGGTTATGTTTGAAATTTGTCTTCCAATATTTTTTTTAAATTATTTAATTTTTTGAATTGTCAATTCCAGAAAACGGAAATATAAATATGGAACCAGAAGAACATCAAAGGTATTTTCCAATTTTACATTTCCTTCACAATTTTTATTATTATTTACTCTTTGTTGAAGGACCAGGGATGTTGGCACTGAAACCTCATTTAGCGACATCCTAGGATCAGCATCAACTTTTTCCAATTTCTCTGATGACAGTCGGAGAACTCTGACAGATACGCGTGCTCATCAAAAACCCGAAGTACGCAATGTGGCCACAGAAACTGATTTTCTCACTGTGACAAGTCTCACGATTTCCATAACCACCACCGATATCGATGTGGATTATTCAAGTGATATAGCGGCCGAGGAGAGAGCAATGACAAGAAGAGGTTAGCTTTATTTTCCTGGAGAGATTAAATAATTTAAAATGTTTTTGGTTTTAGATTCTCTGCTTCATTATGCCGCCTCGGGTACCTCCAGTTCCAGTGAAGAAGATAAGGATAGCCTGCCCAGACCTCAATACCAGCTGAAGTCTAGTAAATCTCAGCATGTGCGAAAAATATTCAGTTCTAGTGATGAGGAGGATGGTGGGGGTTTGGGACACTCAAATTTGAGCAAAGGAAATGTTTTTGTAAGTCTTATCTTCAGGTCAACTTACTAAATTAATTTTAATTGCTTGAGCCTCCTGCCAGGTCTACATGGTCATCCCTCCTGATGGCGGCTATGGTTGGTTCATAATGTTCATTTCCTTCTGGTGCCAGGTGGTTGTGGATGGCATCATTTTTGGTATAGGCGTGATTTTGCCGCACATCGCCGAGGAGTTTCAAATTCCAGGGTCAAAAGTCATTTTGGTGGCCTCCATGCAAGTGGGTGAGTGGGGAGGATTGAACAAAAAGTGTGGAAATTGTGAATAATTTGAGAATAATTTTTAGGTTTTTATTTCCTGGCTGGAGCAATTTCAAGTGCTTTCATCAATAAGTATGGCTTTCGTCCGGTGGCTTTGGGTGGTTGTCTCCTCTCGATTGCTGTGTTGAGCGTGGCAACTTTTTCGACAAATTTGCCAACGATGATTGTTTTCTATAGCATTTTGGGTAAGGATCCTTTGTGGGGTGAGAGACATTTTTGGGAGCACCTTTGGGAGGAAGAACACCAAGTTTCGTCATAAATTATTATACTTTGCTTTCTAATGCTACAGAAGTAATTTAAATACTTTCGAGTCTTCTGCTAGACGAAGGTGCCGAGGACCTCTTAAGACAGGACCCTTCGTCGTTTAATTCTATAACAAAGGTCGAGAGTAGGGGGGAGATCCGTAATTTTCAACAAAACTGTAGATCTTTCATTGGAGGACACATTCCACGCTGATAGCTCCGAAGGTCCTTGAAAATACACTCCGAAAAAAACACTTTGTATCCTCATTAAATTCTTAAAATTTTTAAGATTTTTTTTAAAACCAACAGAGGCGTGCATTTTTTAGAAAAATTGTTCCAAAAACTATAAAAATGCGTGGATTTTTTAGAAAAAAAATTTCCAAGGACTATCCAAAGGCATGGATTTTTTAAAAATATTTTTTCAAGGACTAGCAAACAGGCGTGGATTTTTTTAAAATATTTTTTTAAGGATCAACAGAGGCATGAATTTTTTTTTAAATATTTTTTCAAAGACTATCAAAGGGCGTGGATTTTTTTAAAAATATTTTTTTAAGGACTATCAATAGGCGTGGATTTTTTTAAAAATATTTTTTTCAAGGACTATTAATAGAGTGGATTTTGTTTTAAAATATTTTTCAAGGACTATCAATAGGCGTGGATTTTTTTAAAAATATTTTTTCAAGGACTATTAATAGGCGTGGATTTTGTTTTAAAATATTTTTCAAGGACTGTCAATAGGCGTGAATTTTTTTAAAAATATTTTTCAAGGACTTTTAAGGGGCGTGGATTTTTTAAAAATACTTTTTCAAAGACTTTCAAAGGGCATGGATTTTTTAGAAATATTTTTTCAGGGACTTTCAAGCTGCGTAAATTTTTTAAAAATATTTTTTCAAGGACTTTCAAATGGCGTGGATTTTTTAAAAATATTTTTTCAAGGACTATCAAATTGCATGGATTTTTAAAAAAATATTTTATCAAGGACTATCAATAGACGTGGATTTTTTTAAAAATATTTTATCAAGGACTATCAATAGGCGTGGATTTTTTTAAAAATATTTTTCAAGGACCATCAAAAACCGTGATTTATTAAAAAAAATATTTTTATGGACTATTTCTTGGGCGTGGATTTTTTAAAAATATATTTTCAGGGACCAACAACCACAGAGGCATGGATTTTTTAAAAATATATTTTCAAGGACCAACAACCACAGAGGCATGGATTTTTTAAATGTAGGTTTTTTCAAGTATCAACAGAGATGTGGATTTTTTAAAAAAATATTTTTTAACAAATAGAAACGAATCTACGTTAATAGTTCCGAAGGTCCTTAACAATGCCCTAAAAAAATTAAAAAAAAAATCGTTAAAAAAAAAATTTAAAACAGCAGTCTTTTATCCTTGAAAATAATTTTTAGAAGCCTTGGTTTGTGTTTCGGTTTGTCCTGAAAAAAATGTTCTCGAAATATTCGTTCTTTACAAATTTTTAGTGATCCTTCCAAACATCTTAATTTATTTTTCCTTTGTTTTCAGGTGGCCCTGGCCTCAGCATGGTTTGGGTCTCTTCTCAGCTAATAATTGGTTATTATTTCGAGAAATATCGTCCCATTGCCAATGGAATCTCATGTTCGGGGGCCGGAGTGGGAATCATGATGTTTGCCTATATGAACAATGTCCTGGTAACACAGCTAGGCTGGCGTAATCTAATGCGACTGCATGTAGCATTTCTGGTGTTGGTACTGCTAATGGGTCTGACATTTGTCGAGGTGGCGCCCACGAAAATTGGAAGGGTTAAAGAGGTGAGGTTAAATAGAGCTTTAATTTTTATTGGACCTTTAATTTTTTCGTTTTTTGTAATTTAGATGTCTTGGGAGGACTCTGAAACGGATTCTCATGACATCCTCACAGAGATGACCAAATATTCGCGTTATTCTTTGAAGACACAAACGGATGTTTATGAGCTGGATGAGGAGTTTGAAAAAGTACTAGGTATGAGACTTAATATTTTTGTCAAAAAAAAAATTAAATAAAAATCTTTCGAATAATTTTTCTTTTCTAGAAAAAGTAGAACCCCCTACAGCACAAGGATCATCTCCGCAAGGCTGCTGCCCAAAATGTCTAAATTCTTGTTGTCCTTGCTTCCAAAATTACCTAATCAAACGTCGTGAAGCCCAAGCTCAGGAAGCCCTTGCCAAACATTACATTATACGCCAGGATCCAATGGAAAAACAGGATCTCTTCTACATGGGACCCAGAGAACATCACGATGGCCGTCCCAGCCATGGTCGTCGAAAAACTGTCTCATTTGGTGAGACGGATGTGCGTACCATTTCCTTGGATGACATAGATCAAGGCGTCGATACGGAACGTGTTGTCAACACCCTGTCGACCATGGCCATACATCGCCAACAGCTACCGGATCAAAGGAAATCCTATAAGGAATTGCGGGAGGTGAAGAAATGTCCTTTGTGGGAATTTCTGAAACCAGGAAATTTATTGCATCCCAAAATACGGAATGCCTTTCGTTTGCTGTTCGATTTTCGTCTGCTGGAGATGTTGGAATTTCGAATCCTTTTGGCCTCGGCATTTCTGTTTCCGATGGGTTTTAATATACCCTTTGTTTATTCGACAGGTAAGTGGAGAGATTGTAGAGGAGGTAATTAAGGAAGGAAATTGCAAATATTTTTAGAGAAGGATAGAAAAATGTAGGAAAGCAAACAAAATTTTTTTCAAGGACTAACCAAGGCGTGGATTTTTAAAAAAAATATTTCCTAAAGACAATTTATTAGGGGTGGATTTTTTAAAAATATTTCCTAAGGACAATTTATTAGGGGTGGATTATTTAAAAAAAAATTCAAAGACGATTTATTAGGGGTGGATTTTATTTTATTAGGGCGTGGATTTTTTAAAAATATTTTTTTTAGTACTATCTAAGGGCGTGGATTTTTTAAAAATATTTTTTTTTAGTACTATCTAAAGGCGTGGATTTTTTAAAAATATTTTTTCAAGGACTATCTAAAGGCGTGGATTTTTTAAAAATATTTTTTTGTACTATCTAAAGGCGTGGATTTTTTAAAAATATTTTTTTTTTGTACTATCTAAAGGCGTGGATTTTTTAAAAATATTTTTTAAGAACTGTCTAAAGGGGTGGATTTTTTAAAAATATTTTTTCAAGGACTACTTATTAGGAGTGGATTTTTTTAAATATTTTTTCAAGGACTATTTATTGGTCGTGGATTTTTTAAAAATATTTTTTAAGAACTGTCTAATGGCGTGGATTTTTTAAAAATATTTTTTCAAGGACTACTTATTAGGAGTGGATTTTTTTTAAATATTTTTTCAAGGACTATTTATTGGTCGTTGATTTTTTAAAAATATTTTTTAAGAACTGTCTAATGGCGTGGATTTTTTAAAAATATTTTTTCAAGGACTACTTATTAGGAGTGGATTTTTTTAAATATTTTTTCAAGGACTATTTATTGGTCGTGGATTTTTTAAAAATATTTTTTAAGAACTGTCTAATGGCGTGGATTTTTTAAAAATATTTTTTCAAGGACTACTTATTAGGAGTGGATTTTTTTTAAATATTTTTTCAAGGACTATTTATTGGTAGTGGATTTTTTAAAAATATTTTTTCAAAGCCTATTTATTAGGCGTGGATTTTTTTTAATAATTTTTTAAGGCCTATTTATTAGGCGTGGTTTTTTTTAGAACATTTTTTCAAGGACTATCAATAGGCGTGGATTTTTTTGAAATATTTTTTTAAATTACTATTTATAAGGCGTGGATTTTTTGAAATATTTTTTTAAATTACTATTTATAAGGCGTGGATTTTTTTAAATATTTTTTAAGGTCTATTTATTAGGCGTTTTTTTAAATATTTTTTTAAGGACTATCAAAAGGCGTGGATTTTTTTGAAATATTTTTTTAAGGACTATCAAAAGGCGTGGATTTTTTTGAAATATTTTTTTAAAGGACTATTTATTAGGCGAGGATTTTTTTAAATATTTTTTCAAGGATTGTCTAAAGGCGTGGATTTTTTAAAAATATTTTTTCAAGGCCTATTTATTAGGCGTGGATTTTTTAAAAATATTTTTTCAGGGCCTACTTATTAGGCGTGGATTTTTTGAAAATTGTTTTTCAAGGCCTATTTATTAGGCGTGGATTTTTTAAAAATATTTTTTCAGGGCCTACTTATTAGGCGTGGATTTTTTGAAAATTGTTTTTCAAGGCCTATTTACTAGGCGTGGATTTTTTAAAAATATTTTTTCAAGGGCTATGAGATGAGATAAATACATTTTTTAAGGACTATTAGGAGGGGATTTTTTATGAATTATTTGATAATTTTTTTATTTGTTAAACCATTATTTTTTATTTTTTATATTTCTGTCCTTCTCCTGGCCTTTACAATCCTCACTTATATTTATAATTATCACCGCATATTTTGTTGTGTTTTGTTTAATTTCTGAATACCCCCTGGGCCAACAACAAAAATAATTGCCTTGCCGAGCCTTCATTATCTCCTTAAGCCTTTAACCGGTCATTAATTACAAGACCATTATCCTTGCCAAGAATAACAAGTGGGCCTACTCGGAAAGTTGAAATTCATTTCTTAAATCACTTCACACGGATGCACTCTCACACAGACACACACACCACCACCACTTCGTTGGGAATGCAATTTCACTGAGCGACCAACAAAACTCTCAGGTTTTTGTTTTGTTTACCAAATTCTTGTTTTCATTTGTTTACATTTTTGCATCATGCATTCTCTGTGTGTCGGTGTTCATCACCCGTTTCCTTCTTCCCCAACTCCTCCATTTCTTTTGTCTGCTATTCACCTAGCTTGCATTTTCATTTGTATTTCTATTTGTGTTTTCTTTTTTTTTTTTCTTTTTTTGTTGGTGTGTCCTGCCCCCTTCACCATTGTGCCATTGTTAATGTGAAGTGCGTGTCCAAATTGAGCCGAGTTTTGCAAAGCTAATTTCACCCTCCATTGGTTTCTCGAATTTCGCCTTTCGCATTGCATCTGGATTCGTGGCGTACCGTTATCGTGACTACACGACGTACATCTGTGGCGGCGGCATGGTCTTTGGCGGAATGGCCGTTGCTGTCAGTGCCTTCTATGGCCTCGATGTGGTGTGGTTCCAATTCTTCTACGCCATCTGCTATGGCATAGCCCCAGGTAAGTTTGGCAAACAACGAAAGCAAAAAAAAAAAAAGATACCAGAAATTATGAGTGGTAATAGACGGGTTAATGCAGAATGCATTGCCATTTGCATTCTCTCGCTCTCTCTCCATTTCCACCACTTATGCACGCACAAATGTAAACAACAGCCACAAACAAACAAACACACACACACAGGCAATGGAAGAAAGAAAACAGACACATTACCATTTACAAACTTTATTTTGCATACATTTATCACAAGCTCATCAAGCACGTTTTTATGACTCTCCATAACACCGAAAGATGTGGGGGAGAGAGGAGAGGAGTAAAAAATATTTACAAGAACTGGAAGGACGACTGTTAGCGAGGGTACTATCTAGGGAGCAAATCTTCGCTTAATACAAATTGTAAGGTTCTTCAGAGCCTTAAGTATTGAGGGATAAAAGTAGATTTTTTAAGAATTTTTTTAAGGACCTGCAGAGCCTGAAAGATATTTTTTCAGAAAAATTGTTAAAGCGCCAGCAGAGTCTTATCCTTGGATTTCTTAATAAAAATTCTGAAGGGACAACAGAACCTAAAACATTGGGGTTTTTAATAAATTTTTCGAAGGACTTTTTTAAATAGAAAATTTGAAGAACCGACAGATCCTTAAACAAGGATTTTTAAATAATTTTTTAAGGTCCTTCAGAGCCCTGAAAGTGGATTTTTTAAATAATAATTTTGAAAAAACCTACAGATATTTAAACGAAGATATTTAAAATATTTTTTTTAAGTCCTTCAGAGCCCTAAACGTGAATTTTTTAAATAAAAATTTTGAAAAAACCGACAGATCTTTAAAGGAGGATATTTAAAATAATTTTTTTAAGTCCTTCAGAGACCTAAACGTGGATTTTTTGGATAGAAAGCTTGAAAAATCGACACATATTTAAACGAGGATATTTAAAATAATTTCTTTAAGTTCTTTAGAGCCCTAAACGTGGATTTTTTAAATAGAAAATTTGAAAAACCGGCAGATCTTTAAACGAAGATATTTAAAATATTTTTTTAGGTCCTCCAGAGCTCTAAACGTGGATTTTTTAAATAGAAAATTTGAAAAATCGACAGATCTTTAAACGAGGATATTTAAAATAATTTTTGTAAGTCCTTCAGAGCCCTAAACGTGGATTTTTTAAATAGAACATTTGAAAAACCGACAGATCTTTAAACGAGGATATTTAAAATAATTTTTATAAGTCCTTCAGAACCCTAAATGTTGATTTTTCAATAGAAAATTTGAAGAACCGACAGATCCTTAAACGAGGATATTTAAAATAATTTTTTTAAGTCCTTCAGAGCCCTGAAAGTGGATTTTTTAAATAGAAAATTTGAAAAACCGACAGATCTTTAGACGAGGATATTTAAAATAATTTTTATAAGTCCTTCAGAACCCTAAACTTGGATTTTTTAAATAGAAAATTTGAGAAACCGACAGATCTTTAAACGAGGATATTTAAAATAATTTTTTAAGTCCTTCAGAGCCCTAAACGTGGATTTTTTAAATAGAAAATTTGAAAAATCGACAGATCTTTAAAGGAGGATATTTAAAATAATTTTTTTAAGTCCTTCAGAGCCCTAAACTTGGATTTTTTAAATAGAAAATTTGAGAAACCGACAGATCTTTAAACGAGGATATTTAAAATAATTTTTTAAGTCCTTCAGAGCCCTAAACGTGGATTTTTTAAATAGAAAATTTGAAAAACCGACAGATCTTTAGACGAGGATATTTAAAATAATTTTTATAAGTCCTTCAGAACACTAAATGTTGATTTTTCAATAGAAAATTTGAAGAACCAACAGGTCCTTAAACGAGGATATTTAAAATAGTTTTTTAAGGTCCTTCAGAGCCCTAAACGTGGATTTTTTTAATAGAAAATGTGAAGAACCGACAGATCCTTAAACGAGAATATATAAAATAGTTATTAAGGTCTATCAGAGCCCTAAACGTGGATTTTTTAAATAGAAAATCTGAAAAACCGACAGATCTTTAAACGAGGATATTTAGAATAATTTTTTTAAGTCCTTCAGAGCCCTAAACGTGGAGTTTTTAAATAGAAAATTTGAAGAACCGACAGGTCCTTAAACGAGGATATTTAAAATAGTTTTTTAAGGTCCTTCAGAGCCCTAAACGTGGATTTTTTAAATAGAAAATTTGAAAAATCGACAGATCTTTAAACGCGGATATTTAAAATAATTTTTTTAAGTCCTTCAGAGCCCTAAACGTGGATTTTTTAAATAGAAAATTTGACAAACCGACAGATCTTTAAACGAGGATATTTAAAATAATTTTTTTAAGTCCTTCAGAGCCCTAAACGTGGATTTTTTAAATAGAACATTTAAAAAACCGGCAGATCTTTAAACGAGGATATTTAAAATAATTTTTTAAGTCCTTCAGAGCCCTAAACGTGGATTTTTTAAATAGAAAATTTGAAAAACCGACAGATCTTTAAACGAGGATATTTAAAATAATCCTTTTAAGTCCTTCAGAGCCCTAAACGTGGATTTTTTAAATAGAAAATTTGAAAAACCGACAGATCCTTAAACGAGAATATATGAAATAGTTATTAAGATCTATCAGAGCCCTAAACGTGGATTTTTTAAATAGAAAATTTCAAAACCGACAGATCTTCAAACGATGATATTTAAAATAATTTTTAAGTCCTCCGGAGCTCTAAACGTGGATTTTTAAATAGAAAATTTGAAAAACCGACAGATCTTTAAACGAAGATATTTAAAATCATTTTTTTAAGTCCTTCAGAGCCCTAAACGTGGATTTTTTAAATAAAAAATTTGAAAAACCGACAGGTCTTTAAACGAGGATATTAAAAAAAAAAAAATTTAAGCCCTTCAGAGCCCTAAACGTGGATTTTTTAAATAAAAAATTTGAAAAACCGACAGGTCTTTAAACGAGGATATTAAAAAAAATAATTTTTTAAGTCCTTCAGAGCCCTAAACGTGGATTTTTCAAAGATAAATTTTAAGGGTCCTTAAACTAGGATTTTTAACTGATTTTTTAAGGTCCTTCAGAGCCATTTCCTTTAACGCGGATTTTTCAAATAGAAATTTTGAAGGAACTACACATTCTTAAACTAGGATTTCATAACTGGATGTTTTAAATATTTGTTTAAGGTCTTTCAGAGCCTTAGACCTGGATTTTTTGAATATAAAAGCTGAAGAAACAACAGATCCTTAAAAGAGGATTTTTTAAGTAATTTTTTAGGGTCCTTCAGAGCCTTGAACTTTGATTTTTTAAATAGTTTTTAAGGTCCTTCAGATACCTAAATTTTTTAAATAAAAAATTTCAAGGACTATCAGAGCCTTAAGCATGATTTTTTAATTGAGCATTTTCAAAGATCAACAAAGCCTTAAATGTATAATTTTTAAATAGATATTTTAAAGGACCAACAGGACGTTGAATGTACATTTTTAAATATATTTTTTGAAGGACCAACAGGACATTAATGGTGGATTATTTTTAAATAAATAGGGAGGTCCTTGTAAAAATTTCTTGAAAAAATATGAGTTAAAAAATCAAATTGAGAACTCTGAGGGGCCCTGAAATTTTTTCTTAAAAAAAAAAAAACAAAAAATTAATAATAAAAAACTAAGCAAGTCCTCGAAAAAATTTTCATAAAAATTCCGAATTTTAGTGAAAGTCCTTTATGAATTCGGAAAAATCAATCCTAGGTTGCTCTAAATGTCCTTGAAGAGACATTCTTAAAAAAAATCATTTTTAGAGCTGGAAAAGTCCATGAAGGAATACCACTTAATGTCCTTCAAGAAATATCATAAAAAAATATTTTTTGAGCTACACAGATATTGCTTGAATCCTTCAAAAAGTCCCTGAAATAATTTTCTAAGAGGTCTGGACATCCTTGGTGTAAAATTAATAAAAAAATCCTCGTCGAGTCCTTAGAAAAATTGTTCTTGAAAATCCTGCCTTGAGAGTTGCAAAAGTCCTATAGGAAATTCACGATGATAGATCAGAAGGTCTTCCAAGAATGATTCCTAAAATAACAATTTGGGCAGGTTCAGGCAGGTTCACGTTAAGATTTTCGGGAGTCCTTAAAGAAATATACATAAAAAATTATCGTTGAGTCTTTTCATAAATATTCAAAAACAAAAAAAAAAAAAATAAATAAATAAATAAACTGATAGCTTGGGATGTCCGTGAAAAAATATTTTTAAAAAATCCAAGCTAGGAGCTGTGGAAGTTCTTGAAAAACAATTTAAAAATACATGTTAAGAGCTCTGAAAGTCCTTGAACAACAATTTGAAAAAAATCACGAAAAGACCTCAAAAAGTCCTTGATTAAATTCTGAAACATTTAGCTTCATAGCTCTGCAAGCCTTTGAAAAATATTCTTAAAAGATCCCCACTTTGAGAGACTGAGAGTCCTTGAAATGAATCTTAAAATATCTTAAAATTCCACTTTGGAGCTCCTTGAAAAATCATTCTCAAAAATCCGCGCCTATAGCTGTGAAATCCTGCAGATTATTTTAAAATTATTTCTCTAAGAACTTTCAGATCTGCAATCGTAAATTTTAAAAGGATATTTCTCTGGAGAAATAGTTTTACGAATTCCTTCTCAGTACCCCTCTTGATATTCACCCTCCCATAAGTATCTGCATTAATATGGGACAACATCATCAACACCATCATCAGCCGCTGCTGCAACATTGGCCTCATCATCCTCCTCAACATCATCCACATCGAATGAATGAATGACCAGCAGGCAAACAGTATTAATTATGCTGCTTCATGTTGATGTTGCTGTTGTTGTTATTGCCGCTCTTGATGCGGTTGTTGTTGGCGTTGTTCTTGTGTGTATCACTTGAATTGTTGATGTTGGTTGGCCGGGTTGTTTGTTTATTGGCATGTTTTTCGGTTGTCAGGTTGTTGACGACGACGACGACGCCAATGATGAGGATGCGGATGTCAATACTGTTATGGCTAGGCTGCTGCTGCACCTCGTCATCGCTCGCACGCTCTGTGTTGTTGTACCACAAATGTATGGTGCGACTATGCAAACGAGTGCAATTTTAATTATATTCCTCTTTATGTTTATTTACGAACAACATATCGGCATGTGTGGGAGAGTGGAGAGAGCGAGAGAGGGGGAGAGAGAGAGGCAGAGCGGTCACATAGGGCTATCATCTCTGTTGGTTTTGCTGCTAGTATTTGCTTACCATACCTCCTGACACGTTATCCTACTTTGGTAAACTTTTCTTTTTCCGATTTTTTTTGGTAGACGCAGGTGAAAGCATGGGCTATGGTGGAAAACAAAGGGAGATAAGTGGAAAAATGTGGGGATAAAAGGATTTATAAGAATGCCACATAACTTCTAAGATGGGAGGCATAATTTTTGAAATTTTTGAAAAAATTGCAATAACAGACTGCCCGACCTAGAATCGACGCCCAGACGAAAGGGCTGAAGCTGGAATCCTGTAATTTTGGGTGCCTAGGTGTGTGATAAGGCTGGGTTTTTGGAAATTCGTGGAATGAGAGTCACTGATGGAGTGCAAAACTTCGATTTTTTGGGAATCCAATCTTTATGGTTACGAAAAGTTCTAAAATGGTACTAAGTTCTAAAATGATTCTAAAATAGTACCATTTGGTGTTATGTGAACGGATAGAGCTATAAACTTGAAATTTGGTGTGAGCATCAAGGTTGACAAGTAAGTTTGATGTTAGAAGGTTTTTGTGGAAAATGTGTACTAAGTGTGCGAATTGTACTAAATGGTACTAAATATGGAACAGTTTGATTTAGGGTGAGCGGATGAAGCTAGAGTTTTGAAAATTGTTATTGGGGTCCCTGTTGATATTAGGTTTCTGATAAAGAGGTGGTTTGGGAAGTGTGTACCACAAGTGCACGAAAAGTACTAAATAGTACTTTATTTAGTACAATTTAGTATTGGGTAAAGAGATACTGCTTGAAATCTAAAATTTGGGATTTGGGTCGCTTTTTATATGTAACCTGGGCATATGGAGATGGTTTCGGATATGTGTACTAAAATAGTACGAAAAGTACTAAAAGGTACTTAATTTGGTATTGTGTGAAGGAATAGGGCTGCACCCCTGAAATTTAATGTTGAGGTCCCTAATGGTTTCAGTGCTTGAGACTTGACGATTTTTTGGAAGTGATTTCGATTTTTGTACAAAAAGTACTAAAAGGTACTAAAGTTGATATTGGGTTAAAGAATAGGGCTGCAATCCTGAAATTTGACTTTCAGATAACCGAGGGTATCTGTGCTTAAGACTTGACGATTTTTTTGAAATGATTTCGATTTTTGTACGAAAAGTACTAAATGGTACTAAATTTAGTATTGGGTGAAGGGATAGGGCTGCACTCCTGAAATTTGATGTTGAGGTCCCTAATAATATCTGTGCTTAAGACTTGAAAATGTTTTGTAAATGATTTCGATTTTTGTACCAAAAGTACTAAAAGGTACTAAATTTAGTATTAAGTGAAGGGATAGATCTGCACTCCCCAAATTTGTTGTTGAGGTCCCTAATAATATCTGTGCTTGAGACTAGACGATGTTTTGGAAATGATTTCGATTTTTGTACGAAAAGTACTAAAAGGTACTAAAGTTGGTATTGGGTGAAGGAATAGGGCTGAACTCCCGAAATTTGATGTTGAGGTCCCTAATGATATCTGTGCTCGAGACTTGACGATTTTTTCGAAATGATTTCGATTTTTGTACGAAAAGTATTGGGTGAAGGAATAGGGCTGCAATCCTGAAATTTGATGTTGAGGTCCCTAATAGTATCTGTGCTTGAGACTTGACGATTTTTTGGAAATTTTTTCGATTTTTGTACCAAAAGTACTAAAAGGTACTAAATTTAGTATTGGGTGAAGGAATAGGGCAGCACTCCTGAAGTTTGATGTTGAGGTCCCTAATGGTATCCGTGCTTGAGGCTTGACGATTTTTTTGGAAATGATTTCGATTTTTGTACCAAAAATACTAAATGGTACTAAATTTAGTATTGGGTGAAGGAATAGGGCTGCCCTCCTGAAATTTAATATTAAGGCCTCTGTTGGTATCTGGAATTCAGATATGGACGTGGTTTGGGAAAGTGCTCTAAAATTGCACGAAAAGCACTAAATGGTACAAAATTTGAAATTGGGTGAAGGGTTAAAGATAAAAATCTGAAATTTGATGTTTTAATAGATTTGTTTGAGATTTGGCGGTGTTTTGGAAATTCGTCCTATTCTTGTACGAAAAGTACTAAATAGTATTAAATTTGTTATTGGGTGAAGGGATAAGATTGGAATCCTCAAATTTGATATTGAGGACCCTGTTGGTGTTTTATTTTAAGATATGAAGTTTGCTTTGGAAATGTGTACTGTTTTTGTACAAAAAGTACTAATTTATCGATTTAGTACCATAACTAGGTATTGACGAAGATATGGGGCTTATATCGTCAAATTTGATATTGATTGAGGATTGAGATATGAGGTGTTTTTGGACATGTGTGCTATTATTGTGCGAAAAGTACTAATTAGTACTAAATTTGGTATTGAGTGATGGGATATGGCTGTAGTCGTTAAATTTGAGATAGGTGTCACTCACTGTAGGTATCTGAGGTATGGTATAAGGTATGGAGGATATTTTGGAAATATGTACTATAATTGTACGAAAAGTACTAAGTGGTACTAAAGTGGGTTTTGGATGAACTGATAGAGCTGGAATTCCCAAATTTGATATTGAGGTTTCTTTTGGTATCTAGAATTGAGATTTGAAAGCGGTTTTGATATGCGTACAATAATTGTACGAAAGGTACTTAATTTGGTATTGGGTGGAGGAAGGGGCCGGAAATACTAAAATTTGACAATTATGTTGCTGATGGTATCTGTTTTTGAAAATTGGCCATGATTTGGAAATGCTTTCGATATTTCTGGAAAACGTACTAAATGGTACTAAATTTAGTGTAGAATGATGGGATAGGACTGGAATCCTCAAATTTTGATATTAAGGTCTCTGTTGGTATCAGGGATTGAGGTATGGAGTTGCTTTTTGGAAATGTGTACTATAATTGTACGAAAAGTACTAAATGGTACTAAATTGGGTATTGGGTGAAGCGATAGAGCTAGAAACGCGAAATTTGATATTGTGCTCTCTCTTGGTTTCTGGGTATGGCTGTGGTTTGGAATTGGGTCCTATATAGGTACGAAAAATATTGGATGAAGATTGGATTGGAGTTTAAAGATAACTATTCTTCAAGGACATTTTCAGATAACCTGGATTTTAAGGTTTATTTGTAAGCACTTTTTGTCCTTTATTGGCTATTAAACATACATTTTTATAGGAATTTCGGAGGACCATTTGAGCCATCAAAAATTGATTTTTAAGCAATATTTTCAAGGACCAAACATACCTAATTTTTTTCTGATTTTTTCCAGTTTTTTTTTTTTGACCCGCCAGGCGTAACTAAATTTTTTCAAGATTTTTTTCGAGGTTTATTTGACCTGCCAGACTTAGGGGTTTTAGGAATTATTATATGACCTTTTTCTATAGGAATTTTGATTGTTGAAAAAATATTTTCAAGGACTATTTAAGTTAACTGGATTTTAATGGCTATTGGACGTACATTTTAAAGGCTTTTTGGAGGACCATTTGAGCCATCAAAAATTTTTAAAGCAATATTTTCAAGGACCAAACATACCTAACCTTTTTTCTGATTTTTTTCGAGTTTTTTTTTTTTTTTTTTTGACCCTCCAGACATACCTGAGTTTCTTCAAGATTTTTTTCGAGATTTATTTTTCCTGCCAGATTTATGGGTTTTAGGAATTGTTATAAAAAAAAATTTTCTATAAAAATTTGATTGTTGAAAAATATTTTCAAGGACTTTTATCAGATATGTATACTCCAAAAAAAATCAGGATTTTTTTATGGCAAGTTTTCTCATGGATTATTGGAGCTGTCAGATGTGTAGTTTTAAATAATTTTGTAAAGGACTCTTTGAAATAAAAGAATATCAGAAGTGGATTTTTTTAAATATTTTTTTTTAGAGTTTCAAATATTTTTTAAATTAGTTTTTCAAAATTTTTTAGGTTCTATCAGATCTTTAAAAATTTTTTGAAAAGATTTTGTAAGGACAATCAGAAAGTGGATTTTTAAAATATTTTCATTAAAGGACTAATTTTACTCCCAAAAAACTAGAGTTGTAACATTTTGCTCTGCATCTGATAATACGTGCTCTTGTTTACCACAATTACAGCGAGATATCCAAACACTTCCCCTCCTCCCTTTTCTGGACACTTCCATCCATGTTCCCATTAACCCGTTTCGTAAGCATATGTTTACCATTTATTTCATGGTTTTGGTCATTTTCTCTCTCTTTCTCTCTCTGTGTTTGGTGGTGGTCATCATTCATCAGACCAATATTACAGCTGCATTACCTGCGATGACCCCAATTTGCTAGGGTGCTCTGTTAATTTTTGGGTTTATAATTTCCCTATTTCTCTGCTCGTCCATTTCCATTCATTTTCCCCTTTTCCTATCTTCATCTAGCATTCTACTCAACATTGCGTGCCATTATCTATGTCCGTTCGCTGGGCCTGGATAAATTAACGAATGCCTTTGGTTTGACGGCCTTAGCCATGGGAATGGGCGTTTTTATTGGCACAACCGCCGGTGGTATCTTGAACGATCTGACCGGTGATTATACGGCTTCATTTGCATTTGCGGGTATTTGCATTATTGTCGCGGGTGCTTTGAAATTGCTGCTGCCGCATCTGACGTTGGCGGTCGGGGTCAGCAATGGGAAAAAGTGAAAGCCGACAAGCCACAATGTCGTTGTTCGCTTATCGTTTTCGGAATGCACAAAAAGAAAAAAACTCGGAGGAAGAAAACCAACCAACAAACAAACACACACAAAGAGAAGGAAATTGGTTTGCAAGTGCCTGGAGATTTGGGAAAACTCCAAAACAACAAATGCATGGAAATTTGAGAGAATGTTTGAAAAAAAAAAAACATGAAATGAAAGGTAAATGATAAGAAAATTTTTGGCTATTTTTCGAGCATGTTAAGTTGTAAATGAAGGTATGGAGATAAATAAAAAAAGGGTTGAATTGAAAAATGATTAAGAATTTTTGATTTTATTAGCAGTTTAAATATTTCATAAAGGATTTTTTTAAAGGATCGAAAGTGGATTTTTAAAAAATCTTTGAGAGGACGAAAAGTGGATTTTATAGGAAATGGTTTTAAAGGAACGAATGTAGGTTTTTTATTGACTAGGACAAAATTTGGATATAAAACAAAATGAAGGAAAAACAGATTTTTCGATGTGGACTTTTAAAGGACCAACAGAGCTTTACTCTTGGATTTCTTAAATATAATTTTTTAGGACTAACAGATTTTGTAAATTATTGTTTTTGATAACTAACATAGCCCTATATCTGGATTTTTCAAATATTTTTTTTTTTGAAGGACTAACAGATTTTAAAATAAATTTTTTTTGAAGGACCGACAGAGCTTTAAACTTGTATTTTTTAAATAATTTTTTTGAAGAACTAACATATTTTTTTTTTTTTTTTTTTTTTTTTTTTTTTTTTTTTTAAAGGCTACAGCGCTTTATACACGGATTTATTGATTTTTTTAAGGGCCGTTAAGGCTCTGTCGGCTTGGATTTTTCAAATAATTATTTTGATGAACCAACATAGGCTTATACACGGATTAATAATTTTTTTGTTTAAGGACCGACAGAACCTTAAACAATTATAATATTTGAAGGACCAACAGAGCCTTAAACACGGATTTTTTAAGTATTTTTTTGGAGGACCGACAGACCCTTAAGCGTGGATTTTTGTAATATTTTTTTTAGAGGGACTAACCGATTTTCTTCCAACAGAGGCATAGACGTGGACTCTTTAAATAATTTATTGAAGGACTTACTAATTTCTTAATTGAATTTGTTTGAAGCACCAACGGACCCTTAAACATTGATTGTTTTTAAATAATTTTCTTGAAGGATTCACTGTTTTTTATTTTATTTTTTTTAAGGGCCAACAGATCCTTAATCCTGATTTTTTTTAATAATTTTTTGAAGGGCTAAATAATTTTTTAAATTATTTTTTTGAAGGACCAACAGATCCTTAATCCTAAATTTTTTAAATAATTATTTTGAAGGACTTTATGATTTTTAATTTTAATTGTTTTGAAGATCCAACGTATTCTTAATCCTGAATTTTATAAATAATTTTTTTGAAGGACTAAATAATTTTTTATTATTATTTTTTTTAAGAACCTACAGAGCCTTAAATGTGGATTTAAAAAAAAAAAAATCAAGAACTAACATAGCCTTAAACGTGGATTTTTTTAAAGTACCAACATAGCCTTAAGCTTGGATTTTTTAATTTAATTTTTTGAAGGATTATCAAAGCCTTAAACGTGGATTTTGTAACTCATTTTTTTGAAGGATTATCAAAGCCTTAAACTTGGATTTTTTAAATAATTTTTTTGAAGGGCCAACTGCGCCTTAGTCGTGGATTTTTTAAATATTTTTTTGAAGGACCCACAGCGTCTTAATCGTGGATTTTTTAATTAATTTTTCTGAAGGACCAACAGCGCCTTAATCGTGGATTTTTTAAATAATTTTTTTCAATGGCCAACAGAGCCTTAAACTTGAATTTTTTAAATAATTTTTTTAAGGATCAACAGAGCCTTAAACGTGAATTTTTTAAGAAGTTTTTTCAAGAACCAACAGAGTCTTAAATGTGGATTTTTTAAATAATTTTTTTGAAGAACCAACAGAGCCTTATTTCTTGGATTTTTTAAATAATTTTTTTGAAGAACCAACAGAGCCTAAAGCGTGGAATTCTTAAATATTTTTTTGAATGATTATCAAAGCCTTAAATGTGGATTTTTAAAATAATTTTTTGAAGGACTATGAAAGCCTTAAATGTTGATTTTTTAAATAATTTTTTTGAAGAACCAACAGAGCCTTAAGCGTGGAATTTTTAAATAATTTTCTTTTTTTGAATGATTATCAAAGCCTTGAATGTGGATTTTTAAAATAATTTTTTGAAGAAAGCCTTAAACGTGGATTTTTTAAAATAATTTTTAGAGGACTATCAAAGCTTTAAACGTGGATTTTTTTAAGTAATTTTTAGAGGACTATCAAAGCCTTAAACGTGGATTTTTTTAAAATAATTTTTAGAGGACTATCACAGCCTTAAAGGTAGATTTAAAATAGTCTTTAAAATGATGTTTTGAAGGACAATCAATTCCTGGAATTTGGAGTTATTTTTTTTTTTATTCCTCAAATTTTTATTTTTTTAAAACTCACCATTTTTTTCCTTCTAAAAATCTCATAAAATAATAACAATTTGTTTTCATATTTTTTGGATTTTTATTCTAAGTTTTTTTTTTTATTTATTTATTTCTCTTTTTTATTATATTTTTTTTATATATATTTAATATTATATATCATCTGTAGGTTTTTTTATTTTATACAAAAAATTATGTTCATTTTTAGTTTTCCGTTTTTTTTTATTTTTATGATTATAATTACATAAATTATAATTTTTCGACGACTTAATATTTCATATATAAGGTTCTGCATTATTCAGTTTTTATTTTATTTTAATGCCAATGACTATTTTTTTCTATTTTTTTTTTCAGTTTATCTTATTTTCGCCTTAGTCTAATAGAGGGCAATTGTTCTTTAGCATTAAAGAGTTTTTTTATTGACTTTTATTTATTTTATTTATTTTTTTGTTTTTGGAAAATATTGTTGTAACACATATTTGGATTTTCTTTTCAATGTTGACTGATTGTTGTTGTTGGGCTTGATTTGCTTGATTTATGTCGGTCTTTTGTTTTTTTTTTTTCTTTCTTAAGACATTTTGATTTTTCTGTATTTATATATTTTTTATTATTATTATTTTTTATAAGGTACAATATCTACAAGTTGGGAGGTTTTTTATTTATTTATTTTTTTTTTTTTGTTATTATTTATTTTTTTAATATTGCAAATGAAAACAAATCCTATTGCCAATGGTCATGGTGTATGTCTGTGTGTTGTGTGTTTGCCTTTGTATTTTTGTTATTTCTTCTGTTCATAATTTTTTCTCTTATTTCCTAAAACCTTAAATTAAAAGAAATTCTATTTATATAAATATTGAATAAGTTTTAGGGAGTTTTTTTGGTTTTTTCTTTTTTGGTTTGGAGTTATATTCTTTTCTTGGTTTTTTGTCTTTGGGAGAAGATTAATTTTTATCCTTCGTCTTCTGCCAGTTATTTTAACATTTAAATATTAATTGCCTTAAAACTACGTTTTACCTTGTTTGATTTCAAAAAGAAAAAGAGAGTTTTTCGGGGATATAGAAATAAGGGGAACCTTTGAAGTTTATTTCGAAATAGACAGGATTAAAGAAGTCAAAAACATGGGATTTTTTAAAATATTATTTTAAATCAGAAATATCTATCAAGCCTAAAAAATAGAAACTAGCGGGCCTATCCAAGCTGCAATTTTTAAGAATATTTTCAAGGGTTATCAGAGTCGGAAACCATAATGTTCCAATAGTTTTTCGAAAGTCCAGCCGGCCTATAAAACGTATATCTTATATTTTTAAGGAACGTTGCCACAAACATGGATCTTTGAGTATATTTTTCGAAGGAGTATAAGATCTACCAATCAGGAATTTTTGATAGATATTTTGGTTCACCACAAAAAAAAAAAAAAAACACATTCAATAACCCATATTTGTATCTCTAATTTTATTCCTCAAAATCTTAAAAAAACAAGTAAAAAAGCTCTAAGTTCGCCCGGGCCGACCTTTGAATATCTTCCACAATATGAAGCGACTTTGGTAAAATTTCAAAAAAATTAAAATACTTTAAAAATTCTGTAAAAACTTAAAACGAACATAAAATACCAAATTTGAAATAATTCCGGTAGGGAGGGAGGTACTGAAATATGGGGCCTATATGAAGACCTGGACCTGCGTAGACAATTTTCTGGCATAGACTGTAGTTTCCATTATGAATTCTAAATACAAAATTTGAAAAAAAAAAAAAACTCCGGTGAATAATGTCCCTTAAATCGTCAAAATATTGAATATCGGTTGACGGTACATATGAGGGCTATACAAAGACATGGACCTGCAAAAACAATTTTCTGTCATAGACTGCAACATCCATTGTGAATTTCAAATACCAAATTGAACATTTTCGGCGAATAATTTCGCTTAAATAAAGGGAGGTACCATTATATGGGGGCTATACCCAAACGTGGATCTACATGGCCCATTTTAAATAACAAAAGTCCTGGAGACATAATATACATTTGGGTAAAATTTTATCAACCTACTTCATTTCGTTCGGAAGCTAGAGTGATTTCCACAGACGGACGGAAATCGTTAAATCAACTCGAATCGAGAGTAATGCTTTTCAGAAGGAAACTGACAAGCTTTGCAATATTTGCGAAAGCCTCCCAGTATCATGATTTTATGCCGTCGAAGGGAATGGTTATTTGCCTCGCGCAGCTTCCTGATATGACGATTTGGTGAAATCAAGCTCCAATAAGGAATATTCCCAAGTAAATGAGAATTATACTCACTTGGAAGGGCTATCAATGTCAAAATCTTAAAATGTTTCCAAGCTGGATTTCATGTTGGCAAGGGAAGCCAAGTGACCCTGGCTTTACATATTTTTGATATGACGTTTATGGTGGAAATGAAATTCTATTAGTATTATGTATTCTCTATTAAATGAGAATTATACTCACTTCGAAGAACCATCAAAGTCACAAACTTCATATTTTTTGAGTACCAAAAAATCAATAACTTTGAATAATCTTTCGTAAAAATTGTCGAAATATCGTCATTATATGAAATGCCCTATAGAATATTTCCAAGTGAATGAGAATTACACTCACTTGAAAAGGCCCAGAGAACTACAAATTTCACATTTTTCTAAGCATGATTTCATAGCGGCAAAGAGAATTCTCACTTGACCTTTTAGCTTTTTGTTATCACAATTTAAGTTTTTTTTTGTAAACATGGAGTTATCTGAAGCAAATGAGAATTACACTCTCTTCGAAGGACCGTAAAAACCACAAAATTCATAATTTTCTAAACACACCCAGAACTTCAAAGAAATCGAAGACACGTAATCTCCACAAATTTGTAATAAGCCTCGTCAAAAATGCTAACAATTAGTGAAGCGACACTCTATTGGGCATCTAAATATGGGAAGTGACCAATTTCCAATTCTCGTTGTTCCCCCCTTAACATTCTTGTTCATTGGGGGAGTATTTTGCTCGGTATTATTCTTGCGAATTTGATTTGAATCATTTCTTCAAGTAAATGAGAATTATACTCACTTCGGAGAACCATGAAAAAACCAAATTCATATTTTTCGAACAATTTTAACATTTTTAATAAACCTCGTAAAAATGACTTAAATGTCTCTTACAGATTACAGTTATTAAATTCCCCTTTCTTTATATTATTCCCTTTTGACTCTCTTCTCCTTCATTGGGGGAGTATTTTATTTTGGTTTCTTTTTCTTCTCTTTCTTTCTTTTTTTGTTTTGAAACATTTCTAGCTTTTTTATTTATTACTTACCTTTGTACCTCTAAGAACTTTACAAGTGTGTTGTTGAATGTGTGGACTTTTTATTTTTTGTTTTTTTTTTTCTTGGAATTTTTAGAAAAAAATCTGTTGTTGTATTTGAATATTGCTATTGTTGTTGCGGTAAGATTTCCTATATGCATTTCATATAAAGAAATAAAAAAATACATATTTAAAATTAATTGGCTCTATTATCCAATTAGATATTTAAGTTGGCAACGCCATTTATATCAAATGCTGTATAAATAGGACTAATTTCCTACAAACCAATCATGGTAATACAGATAAACGCATCGATACAGCTGTTGGGACAATGAACTGTCAAACGAATTATGGAATTAAAATTTTTGAATAAAACATTTTTCAAATTTGTAATAAAAATTGTTGAAACACGCATCTTGACGTTGTATAAGAAAATATATAAAAGTCTAATTATATTTTTGGCATATCAATGTTCCTAAGCGTTGATGCATCTACCTGTATTCATCTACCATGAAACCAACCAATTCAATATCAAAATTAGTTTTCCTCTTGCATTGTGATTTTCATTAATGTGATCGGTTGTCATGTATGGACTACCTATGTATTGTCTTATATCAGCCCGTTTGAGTTGCCAATCACTTTTTATTACAGTACCGTACAATTTCAAACTTATGAACCCTAAACGTCAACTTATTCCATGATAGCGTAATACAGCAGCTAGAACAAAGTAATGTCGAAACGTTTTTGGAATTCAAAATTTTAAATGAAAAATTATTTAAATTAGTCACATTTGCTGAAAATTCATATCTCAATAACCTCTGAATAACATCCGATAAAAAATACAAAAAAAAAAATATTTTATTATTTAAATTTTTTTTTGTATTTTTGACATATCAATGTTCGCGTGCGGTGATGCAAATTCATGAATTTTTCCTTTATGGCATCGAAAAAATAGCTCTAACTAGTGCGTATTTGCAGGTTCTGGAACACATAGTGTATTGCAGTTTTTTTCTTTTGCTCATTGGTCTTGGCTATTTAAAAGAAACCATGCGCGAGGAAAGGACGCATGGATCTACATGCAGATTATGGCTTTCAAACGAAATGAAGTAGGTTGATAAAATTTTACTCAAATGCATATTACGTCTGCAGGACTTTTGGTATTGAAAATGGGCAATGTAGGTCCACGTTTTGGTATAGCCCCCATATAACCGTACCTCCCGATATTCGGTATTTTGATGATCTTAGCGTCATCATTCGCGGTAGTAGTTTCAAAATACGCATTTAGAGTTCGTAATGGAAACTACAGTCTGTGACAGAAAATTGTCTATGCAGGTCCAGTTCTTCGTATAGGCCTCATATATCAATACCTCCCTATTTTCGGTATTTTGACGAGTTTAGGTACAATACCCACCGAAATTGTTTGAGATATCGCATTTGAAGTTCATAATGGATGCTACAGGCTGTGACAGAAAGTTGTCTATCCTGGTCCAGATCTTCGTACAGCCCCGATATAACGGTACCTCCATATATACCGTGTTTTGATGAGTTTAGCTACATTATTCAACGTTTATTTCAAGTTTCGAATTTGAATATGGTAATGGCTTATGACAAACAATGCCTATGTAGGTCCACGTCGTATAGACCCCAATATAACGGCTATATTCGGTATTTTTACAATTTTAACAGATTTTTTTAAGGATTTTATTTTTTGGAAAATTTTCAATTTCATTCCAAATGGTGGAGGGTATTCAAAGTTCAACCCGGCCGAACTTACTACTTTTTAACTTGTTCCCCTTAGTTTAAACCTTCAAAACTGTTCTCGCACTTGAAGATCGATTTTTTAACATTCCAATATCTATAAATTCGATGAGTCGAAAGTCGACCTACTTACCCCTACTTCAACAACGCTTTGCCAAACACAATGTAATTTCAGCAGTTGGCAACGCCACTCACCGGGAATGAATAACAATAATGATAATCGAGCCACATTTATTTGTTTATCTCTGTATAAGAATGGATTTAAATACAGTGGGACCCCTCAAAAATATTGAAATATATAAAGAGAATACTTCCCATTATTCTTCATAATTGAGTTATAGCCTGTTAAAATATATTCTTTAATGGATTTTAAAACTTCAGTAGTATTTTTTTTTTGATGTCCCTTTGTTTTTGAAAATGAAAATTTAAGTACTTAATCGAAATTAGTTATCAAATAGTCAATTGCCTGTTTTTTCGGGTTTAATTAAGTGATTTATTTATATTGTCCAGGGTATTATGTTTATGTTGTTGCTGTTGAATTTTTTTCTGGTTTTCCAAGCGTTTTTTAAATAAAATTCTTCTGTTTTCATTTTTTTTTTCAAATAAAAATTAATTGAATTTATTTTGGAACATAGAAAACAAACAACACTTTTCAGTTTATGCGCTTTGCTAAATTTTTGCCCAAAAAAAAAATAGTTTAAAACATTTTATTTGCTTCTTTGCCACAATTTGTTGCTACATTTCAAACAAATATGATTTCCATGCTTGACTTATGCATTTTTCCGACGAAATACAGTGGGGACCTTTTACAGAAGCTTGGTTGGCTTTAATGTGGAATATTGGTTTCACTGAATCTTTGTAAAAAGAGCCCACTGTATTTGGTGTCTCTGTGTGTGTGTAGGTTTTTGAGTATTTTCCATTTTATTTTTCATATCCTAAAATCTATGTTTCTTTATTTATTATTATTTTTTAATATGTAAATTTTTTGTTGTAGTTTAAATTAATACAATTGTGTTTGAGTTTTGTTTTTAATTTTTGTTTTCTATATATATATATAGTATTTTTTTAATATTTCTCTTTGTGTGTGTCTGTGTGGATTTTCTAAAAAAGGGATGGATTTTTTTCTCTCGTTTTTTTACTCTCTTTTGTTTGGGACTGTTACTTATTTATACTTATTCTGTGTTGGTGTGTGTGTGTGTGAGTTTGGTTGTTGGGGAGTTTTTAGTTTTTATTAAAAAAAAAATCATAATAAAATCAAAAATAATACGCCTTTTTGAAAGAGGTTTTATACGGTTGGTTATCTCGTTTAGATTCATGTATCAGACCTGCAAAAAAAAAAAACAAGAAGAAAAAATGTGAATAAACAAATGAATATTCAAATATGAATTGTAAATTCGATTTGCAAAACATTTTTTGTTGGGGTGTGTGTGTGTGAGCACATAAATGTCAAAATTTGATTGATGGCTCACAAAAAAAAAAATGTCACACAAAAAATTGCATTTATTTTGACACAAAATTCAATTGAATATTTTTTTTTGAGGGAAAAATTAAATAGTCTATTTTAGAACCCGCAAGAAGATAGAAATTTCATTACGATTCCCTTAAGATATCAAAACAAACAAGTTAAAAAAGCAGTAAGTTCGGCCGGGCCGAACTTAGAATCCCCTCCACCATTTGGAACGAATTTGGAAATTCTCAAAAAAAAAAAAAAAAAATTAAAATCCATCAAAATTTGATTAAAATCTTAAAAATACCGAATATAGCCCTATTTACCGGGATCTATATGAAGATATGGACCTGCAAAGGCAACCTTTGTCAGAAGCCATTACAATATTCAAACACGAGACTTGAAAAAAAAAATCCGGTGAATAATGTCCTTAAAATCCTCAAAATATCGAATATAAGGAGGTACTGATATATGGGGCCTATATAAAGAACTGGACCTGCATATACAATTTTTTTGTCACAGGCTGTAGTACCTATTAGGAACTTTTAATACAAGATTTCAAACAATTTCGGTGAATATTGTGCCTAAAATCCTCAAAATACCGAATATTAGGAGGTACTGATATACGGGGCCTATATGAAGACCTGGACCTGCATAAACAATTTGCCGTCACAGGCTGTAGGACCTATTAGGAACTTAAAATAACAAATTTGAAACAACTCCGGTAAATAATGCCCCTAAAATCCTCAAAATACCGAATATAGGGAGGTACTGATACATGGGGCCTATACGAAGACCTGGACCTGCATAGATAATTTTCTGTTACAAGCTGAAGTACCTATTAGGAACTTCAAATACGAACTTTCAAACAATTTCGATAAATATTGCCGCTAAAATCATCAAAATACCGAATATAGGGAGGTACTGATTTATGGGGCCTATACGAAGACGTAGGCCTGCATAGACAATATTTTGTCATAGGCTGTAATGTCCATTACAAACTTCAAATACGAAATTTCTAACAATTTCGGTAAATATTGTACCTAAAATCCTCAAAATACCGAATATGGGGAGGTACTGATATATGGGGCCTATATGAACCCCTGGACCTACATAGACAATTTTCTAGCATAGGATGTAGTACCTATTAGGAACTTCAAATACGAAATTTGAAACAATTCCGGTGAATAATGTCGCTAACATCGTCAAAATACCGAATATTGGGGAGTACGGTTATATGGGGCCTATACGAAGACCTGGACCTGCATAGACAATTTTTTGTCACAGGTTTGTAGAACTTATTAGGAACTTCAAATACGAAATTTCGGTATATATTGTGCCTTAAATCCTCAAAATACCGAAAATCGGGAGGTACCGCTTTATGGGGGCTATAGGAAGACGTGGGCCTGTACACACAATTTTCTATCACAGATTGTAGTACCTCTTACGAACTCTAAATACGAAATTTGAAACAACTCCGGTAAATAATGTACCTAAAATCATTAAAATACCGAATATAGGGAGGTACTGATATATGGGGCCTATACGAAGACCTGGAGCTGCATAGACAATTTTCTGTCACAGGCTGTAGTAGCTATTAGGAACTTTAAATACGAAATGTGAAACAATTTGGGTAAATATTGTGCCTAAAATCCTCAAAATACCGAAAATAGGGAGGTACTGATATATGGGGCCCATATGAAGACCTTGACCTGCATAGACAATTTTCTGTCACAGGCTTTGGTACCACTTACGAACTCTAAATACAACATTTGAAACAATTCCGATGGATAGAGTCGCTAAAATCATCAAAATACCGAATATCGGGGGGGGGGGGGGGTACCTTTGTGTGGGGGCTATACGATATCGTGGACCTATACAGATCATAATCTTCCATGGGGTGAGGTAATCAGAGGGAACTACTTTTATAGATTTGCAGACAATTTCATTGAAAACTGTGGTTGAGATTATCAAAATACCGAATATCGGGGGGTATCGCTGTATGGGGACTATACGATATCGTGGACCTATATATAAAATTCTCTTACAGGGGGTAAAGCACTCAGAAGGAGTTACCGTTGTAGATTTTCAAACAATTTCATTGAAAAATTTGGCTAGAATCATCAAAATACCGAGTATCGGGGGGTACCGTTATAAGGGGGCTATACGATATGGTAGACCTATATCGACAATTTTCTTTCAGGGGGTAAAGTAGTCACGAAGAACTCCTTGTGTAGAATTTCAGACAATTCAATTGAAAAATGTGGCTACAATCACGGAAATACCGAATATCGGAACGTACCGTCGTATGGAAACTATACGATATCGTGGACCTATATAGACGATAATCTTCCAGGGGGCGAAGTACCCAGAAGAAACCCCTTTTGTAGATTTGAAGACCATTTCATTGACAAATTTGGCCACAATCATCAACTATACGATATCGTGGACCGATATAGCTCATCTTCGAACTTGACTTGCCTAAAGACAAAAGACAGATCTGTGCAAAATTTTAGCTGTCAATCTTTATTGTTTTGACTCTAGCGTGATTACAACAGAAGAACTGGGCTAAAATTATTATTTCGATGAGTTACAAACGGAATGACAAATCTAATATACCCTCCATACCATGTCTGGTGTAGGGTATGAAAAAAAAACTAGATTCTTGCAGATTCTGAAACCGGGCGAAAAAATTCCCCCATTTTCCCCACTCACCAATTAAAATAGGTCTCTGGTGAATGGCAACCCTTTTCCGAGCCACACCATTTTGACTCCTTCAATGGCGGACATGGCCGTCCGCCCCGTTTGCCATGTTTGATGATGCGCCGGTATCGATGCATTTCACCAATACCGCATGTCTTGCTGCAGGCAGACCACTCTGACCAGTGGCTAACACGACAATCGCGTGGACGTTTCGTGCGGCGTCGACGATTTGTGGCCGTATAGGTGTTGGCTGAAGATAAGGAGGAGGCCAGGGAAGATGCCTGATTTCCTGATGATGACGAGGCTGATGATGCGAGCGATGCTGATAAATCAGAGCGTCTATAGCTGTTGGCAATATTTTGCATAATGGCATTTTTATCGTTTTTCGGCACCACATTGTAGGGCTGGGAATTGTTGTTGTTGTTGTTCCTGTAACGAGGAAGGAGGAAAAGAAGAGAAAATATGAATTTCAAAAATTATGAAATAAAATTCAGGGCTTGAAAATTTAACTGAAAACGGAAACTAATATTGAAAACTCTCTTTTGAGGAAATCATATTCGATAGGAGTCACCAAAGAAGCTGGGAAGGCCTTCCCAAACCCTTTTGGGACCTCTAATATATTTAGATAATATATACAAATTTACAAAATTCGGAGGGGTTCGAGCCTTCCCCGGTCTATGGCGTTGATAAGACTCAGAAATATACCATCCATCTTCTTTCTCTTAAACCAGGATATCGCTTAAAAATACACCCGGAAATGAACTAAATATTCCCTTTTTTAACTTCCAACAGCAGGCCTCTTATACACATTCACTTCAAACCTCCCACACCCTATTAAATATTTAATACCCCCCACCCCCCTCAACAGAAAGTAATTGACTATTGATATGTCAATATTCTAACAACTTTTACTACACATTGTCCTTGTCCTCCTTTTCGTTTCTGTTTCTGGGTTATATTTAAAATACCTTGAAGTATAGTTGTTAAACTATTGATGAAAAATAAAGGGGTGAGGGGAGGGAGGATCAGGGCTGCATGTGTGCCTTACAAGTTTTAATGTTTTATTTGCCATCATTTCCGTTGAACCCATCAAAAATAATTTCCAATTTTTCAATTTAGTTTCCTTTCGGGGGGGTTTTGTGAGGTTATTGTGCGCTACACAGAACAGGGAGAATTATGGCAAAGGTTGTACAGGTCATGGCAAAATAAAAACCGTTAAATTTTTTATTTTTGAGATCCAAAAAATACCGAATATTGCCTTATATATGGGGATCTACAGGAAGACGTGGACCTACATAGGCCACTTTTGACATAAACCATTTAAATATTCAAATACGAAACTTGAAATCAAAAAAACCGGCTAAAATCTTTAAAATGACTAATACAGGGAGGTACTGATATATGGGGCCTATACGAAAACCTGGACTTACTTACACAATTTTCTGTCACAGGCTGTAGTACCCATTCGGAATTTCAAATACGAAATTTGAAACCACTCCGGTAAATAATACCCGTAAAATCATCAAAATACCGAATATAGGCAGGTACCTTTATATCGGGACTATACGAAGATCTGAACCTACTTAGACAATTTTCTGTCACAGGCTGTAGTACCTATTCGGAATTTCAAATGGGAAATTTAAAACAATTTCGGCGAATATTGTACCTAAAGTCATCAAAATACCGAATATAGGGAGGTACTGATATTGGGGCCTATACGAAGACCTGGACCTACTTAGACAATTTTCTATTACAGGCTGAAGTACTTATTCGGAATTTCAAATAGGAAATTTGAAGCAATTTCGGACAATATTGTTCCTAAAATCATTAAAATACCGAATATAGGGAAGTACTGATATATGGGGCCTATACGAAGACCTGGACTTACTTAGAGAATTTTCTGTCACAGGCTGTAGTAGCTATTACGAATTCCAAATACGAAGTTTTAAACAATTTTGTTGAATATTGTTCCTAAAATCATCAAAATACCGAATGTAGGGAGGTGCCGTTATATCCGGACTATACGAAGACATGGATCTGGATTGACAATTTTCTGTCACAGGCTATAGTAGCTATTAGGAACTTCAAATACGAAATTTGAAGAAATTTCGGTCAATATTGTATCTAAAATCATCAAAATACCGAATATAGGGAGGTACTGATATAAGGGCCCTATATGAAGACCTGGACCTGAATTGACAATTTTTTGTCACAGGCTGTAGTACCTATTAGGAACTTCAAATACGAAATTTAAAACCACTCCGGTAAATAATGCCCCTAAAATCATCAAAATACCGAATATAGGGAGATACTGATATATGGTGCCTATACGAAGACCTGGACCTGCATAGACAATTTTCTGTCACAGGCTGTAGTACCTATTAGAAACTTCAAATACGAAATTTGAAACAAATCCGGTGAATATTGTACCTAAAATCGTCAAAATACCGAATATAGGGAGGTACTGATATATCGGTGCCTATACGAAGACCTGGACCTACTTAGAACAATTTTCTGTCACAGGCTGTAGTGCCTATTACGAATTCTAAATACGAAATTTGAAACAACACCTGCGAATAAAGCCGCTAAAATCATCCAAATACCGAATATCGGAAGATACCGTTGTATGGGGGCGACACGATATCATGGACCTATATGAACAACTCTCTTTCAGGGGGTACAGTAGCCTCGAAGAACTCCTTGTGTAGGTTTTCAGAAAAATTTCATTGAAAAATTTGGCTACAATCATCAACATACCGAATATCGGAGGGTACCGCTGTATGGCGACTATGCGATATCGTGGACCGATATAGCCCTTCTTTGAACTTGTCCTGCCTGCAGACAAAAGACTGATCTGGGCAAAATTTTAGCTTCCTTTCTTTATTCGTTTTGACTCTAGCGTGATTACAACAGATGGACGGACGGGCGGACAGGCTTAAATCGTCTGAGAATTTTAGACTGATCAAGAATATAGGCTGTTACATATAAAGTAAGTAAAATAGTATCAGTCGGTTTTGCCGGCAGATGTATGCCCCCAGCCTTGATATATGATTATTCAAACTGTTGTCCGTTTGTGGTGGAGGTTCCGAAGCAGTTGGATAATATTGACCAATTCGTATCTGACCTAAGACTGATAAGAATCTAAGAATCGTGTATTGATGGAGATATTTAGATGTACCAAGTCAGAATGGAATCGGATGTTAATTCCGCGTTTTATGAGCTTCACGAGTATTCAAAATTTCGACCCTTTGTGGGAGAGGTGCCAAAAGGAGTGTCCCGATATATCCTATCTTCGCAGCAGGTCTTGTGTTAGTAGAAAAAATGGGATATCTGAAATTTGAAGAAAACCGGATGCTTATTTCGAATTTTATGTTCGTTTTGGTTATTAAAAATTTTGGCCCTTTCTGTGAGAGGTATCAGAAGATATGGTCCGACCTCTACCATCTTTAGAGCAGATCTAGTGTTGAAGGAAATATTGAGATGTGCCAAGTCTGAATTGAATCGGATGTTAATTTGGTGTTTTATGAGCCTTCAAATCTTTGACCCACTGTGGGGGAGGTACAAGAAGTAGTGCGCCAATATATCCCATCTTCTCAGCAGATCTTGTGTTAGAAGAAATAATGGGATGTGAGAAATTTGAATAGAATTCGATTCTTATTCGATTCTTATTCGATTATTTCGGATTTTATGCTCGTTTTGGTTATTCAAAACTTTGACCCACTGTGGCGGAGGTACCAGAAGGAAATGTCCGATCTCTACTATCTTTATAGTAGATCTAGTGTTGATGAAAATATCGAAGCGTGCCAAGTCTGAATAGAATCGAATCTTAATTCGTGTTTTTTATGAGCTGCCTGAATATTATAAATTTGACCGCTTGTAAGAAGGGTACCAGAAGGAATGGACTGATATATCCCATATTCACAGCAGATATTGCGTTGGTAGAATGATAAAGATGTGCCTAGTTTGAATTGAATCGTATCTTAATTTTAAATTTTATTGGCTTCATGGATATTCAAAATTTTGACCCTTTGTGGGGGGGAGGTATCCGAAGGTTGGAAACCATTTTCACAGCAGATCTTGCTTTAATTAAAATATTGTGATTTGTATAATTTGAAGACAATCGGACACTTAACCCACATTTTATAAGAGTTAAAATGATTCAACATTTTGACCCTTTGTGGAGGAGATACTTGAGCAGCAGCTGACCTAGCACTGATGTAAATATTAGGATTTGCAATGTTGCAGCTAAATCGGATTATCCTTTCTCTTTCTGTGTAGTAAAATATATTTTTTTGAAAATTTCGATTTTTTTTTTTTTTTTTTTTGGGGGGGGGGGGGGTTATTGGAAGAATTGGACTGATATTGCCCATCTCCGAACTCTATCTAAGTTTTACAAAAATATTGCGATGTATCAAGTTTGGATCAAATCGGATACTCCTTCCAAGAGCTATCGTTTGCACCAGCCATGCAGACAGACAGACGGACGGACGGTCATCGCTAGATCTACTCCAAATATCCTTAAATGGGCTTGGTCCAAAGAGACCTAGGATCTAAAACCGTTATTTTGATGAGGCACGTTTCGACCGTATCCAATGATATATACCATCTCTAGCCATATGGCTGAGGGTATACTTATTATTTCGATGAGTTACGAATGGCATGACGAACCTAATATACCCTCCATACTATGTATGGTGGAGGGTATAAAAAAAACTAAGGCCTATAGAAGGTCGGTCAAGAAGACTACTTTTGACAATAAACTTTGAAACTCTTTGAATTTCAAATCATAATATTCCTTTTGACTTGATTGTCAGATGGGCTTACTGGTCGACCTTATATAGGCCATGCAAATACCTTTAAATAAAATATTAATTAATTTTTTTTTCAGGACTTGTAGGAGATTTTTCAATTCCGGATTGTCATTTGAAAATTATTTCAACTTTCATTTTTCATCAGAAATTTTCTTTGCAGTTACTTTTTGAGGAGATACATTTTCATGTAATGCACTTGTATAAATGTTTGTGTTACCCTCCCCCCACCCCCTTTCACGTATTTGCGAACATGACAAACAAATAGAATACTTGATAAGTAGTTGTTTTTGTTTTCGTTTTCTTCCTCTCTCTCTTTGCGGTCTTGGTGCACACAAAAATTCCATTTGGAGAACTACAAAACGAACTGCTGTTCCGAAAATTGGAACTGTTATTGCCATTACCGGTGTTCATGTTTTTGTTGGTGTTGTTATACAACACACACAAAATGCATGCATATTCATGTTAATTTCCATTTGACATGTATTTTTACAATGTCGTCGTTACCCGGTAAAACAACCATCCATCCATGGTTCCCAGAGAAGAGATGGAAGAGAAGGAGGAGGAGGAGGTGGGTTGGGGAAAGAACATTTCTAAGTGGTTGATGTTTTTAAAGGGATATCATTGCGAACTACTTCTGTGTAATTGTGTGTGTGTGTTTTGCATACAGTTTTAATTTTTTTTTTTTTTTTTTTTTTTTTTTTTTTTGAAAAATTGGGTTGTAACATTTACACAGTGGCCACAAATTTGTGTAAAGGTATCTTTTCCATCAATGGCTGTGTGTTGGTGTGTGGGTGTATCTCTGTGTTTGTGGAATTCTAATTTAGTTCAATTCTGTTTCCCTTTTTCATTTTCTTTGGTTAACAAAAAAAAAAAAAAAATTAAAAAAAAATATGCATGCATTGCATACATACATATGTATGAGAATATGTAAATATGTACATTCAATGTTAGCTTTTAGCATTGACTGACATATGGAAAGGGAGGGAGAGAGGGAGAGCGAGAGAGAAGGAGTGAGAGTGTTGGTGGTTTGCAATTACATTTGCCTTGTTCCTTGTTTTCGCAAAACATTTTCTTCTGTTATTCTTGCACACACATACCAACAGATATGCATACATACATACATAGCTATGTAGGTATGTATGCCGTCCACATCGACATGTACAAATGCAATGACTTGTATGCATTCCGAATCAGTTATTTTTTAATTTTCTTGCCAATATATGTTGGGAATTCCAAATTGATTTGGTTTCCAATGTTCCATTCTCTTTTTTTGGGGTTTTTGTAATTTTCTTTTCTAAGAATGAACTGTTCCAAATGGAGATTAATCAAGCTTTGGGTTTAATTTTTGAAAGAATAATTTTAAAAGAAATAATTGCTAGGAAAGGATTTGAAAAGAGGTTTGACATAAAATACCATCTTTCAAATATGACCTCTAGAACCTAGAATTCCACTGGAATTGTTGCAAAACTCGTACTAAATATGAAAAACCACTGAACCTGAAATTCCTTAACAGGAATTTTCTAAGTTTTTCTGAAAGATAAAGAGTCATAATCCCGGAGTTTCTAAGGAGGGAGAATATTTTTAAATGACCCAAAGGCTATTAATGAAGCATTTTTGATAAATATTTTTAAAATTTGGTTTTCAAGGACAAACAGAGTTTTTTACATATGTTTTAAGATTTTTTCTTGAAGCTTAGAAATTTTTTAAAGAATTTTTTTTTGTAGAATATTGGAGGACAAAAGAAATTATCAGGGTTTCTTATTTAAGAATATTTTTATAGGACGAACTGGAGAACATTTTTGGATTTTTGTTTTTTTAATTTTTTCAAGGATTTTGATGGAACCATAACATGGATCGTAAGGAATATTTCCCAAAGACATAAATTTTAACAATTTTTTATAGAATTTTTTTTTTTTTGTAGAAATTGGAGGACAAGAGAAGTTATGAGGGTTTATTATTTAAGGATATTTTTAAAGGACGAACTGGACAAAATTTTTGGATTTATTTTTTAAGTTTTTCAAAGATTTTGATCGAACAAGAACATGAATCGTAAGGAATATTTTCCCAAAGACATACAGATATTTTACAAAAGTGTTTTTTTCCTAAATTTTGTGATAATCCTGGAATTTAAAAAAAATATATATATTCTAGAGGAAGAAGAAAAATTTTCAAGGCCCGCAGGACAAAGAACAAACAGATCTAAGCTGTGAGCCATAATTGGGAAATTTTTACAAATTTTTTGCAATTTTTTTCTTGATGCTTAGCAATTTTTTAAAGTTTTTTTTTTGTAGAATATTGGAGGACCAAAGAAGTTATCCAGGTTTATTATTTAAGGATGTTTTTAAAGGACGAACTGAAGAACATTATTGAATTTTTTTTGAAGAACGAACAGGATTGTAATCTTAGATTTTCGTACCTATTTTTATGAATAATTTTTAGTTCTTTTTAACTATTCAAATATCTATTTCTTGGATTTTCATGAAGGATGAACGAGTTTATAGTCTTGGATTTTTTACAATTTTTTTTTTCATTTTTTTTAGAATTTCTTTACATATTTTTTATATGATTTTTTTTTGTAGATTTTAAGAATATTTCCTTAAGAAAAAGAAATTATAACAATTTGATTTTTCTACGTTTTCTTATTTTTAGATATCTTAAGGATGTTTTATTGAAAGATTTTTTTCTTGAATTTTAGAGAATATTTTTTGAAAAACGAACAGGGCTGTAATTTTGGATTTTCGTATCTATTTTTAGCGATTTTCTTGAATATTTCTAATTTTTTTTTTTTTTAATTATTCAAGGATCTCTTTCTTGGATTTCCATGAAGGACGAACGAGTTTATAGTCTTGGATTTTTTACAAATTTTTTCAAAAACATTTTCCGTCGATTTTTTATTGATATTATTTTGAGAACAAGAAGAGGTATTATCGTCGATTTTTTTAACTTTTTTCAAGGATTTTTTAAGAATTTTAAGGATATTTGCTTGAAGGACAAAAAGTTCATGGAACTTCATTGATAATTTTTTGATGGATTTTTTCGTAGATTTTTGAGAATATACTTTTTAAGGACAATAAGAGTTATAATTTTTGATTTTTATAAACAATTTTTCGAACACTGATTTTCTTTGAGTTTTAAGGATATTATATTGAAGGACGTACTATAATCAGATTTCTTCGTAGATTTTTTATTTTTAAGGATTTTTGAGTTTTAAGGATATTATATTGAAGGACGAACTATAATCAGTTGTTTGTTTTTTCGCAGATTTTTAATTTTTAAGGATTTTTGATTTTTAAGGACATTATATTGAAGGACGAGCTATAATCAGATTTCTTCGTAGATTTTTAATTTTTAATGATATTATATTAAAGGACGAACTATAATCAGTTGTTTTTTTCGCAGATTTTTAATTTTTAAGGATTTTCGATTTTTAAGGATATTATATTGAAGGACGAACTATAATCAGATTTTTTCGTAGATTTTAAAAAATATTTATTGAAACTTTTTCAAGAACTATTTTTTTTAGATTTTTAAGAATATTTTTTTGAAGGACGAACAGGTCCTCCAGCATTTATTTTTTAATATTTCTCAGAGGATTTTTTTTGTAAATTTTTAAAAATATTTTTAAAACGAGTATTATCTTAAAGTGGGGGATTTTTAAAATTTATTTATTTATTTTTATTTATTTCTAAGCATTTTTAAGCTCAAATTAAGCTGTAATTGTGAAGTTTTGTAAATCTTTTCCAATATTTTTTTCTTGAACGGTAAGGAATATCCAGCTCATTTATAGAGACCACCCGGCCTCCAGTTTTGACTATAAAGAGACTTTGGGCTCCAGCTCGTCTCTAAGGACTCTCTGGCCTCAAACTCGTCTATAACTACTCTCTGGCCTATACCTATTCTGGCCTACTGCTCGTTTATAAATACTTCTTGGCCTCTAGGTCGTCTATAAAGACTTGCCTATAAAAACTCCCTATAAAGACTCTATAACCTCCAGCTCATCTATAAAGACTCCCTGGGCTCCAGCTCGTCTATAAATACTCCCTGCCCTCCGATTCGTCTATAATTACTCCCTTGGCCATCAGCTCGTCTATAAAGACTTACTGGATCTCCAGCTCATCTATAAAAACTCGCTGGCCTCTAATTTTACTATAAAGACTTCCTGGCCTCCAGCTCGTCTGTAAAGACTGCCTGCCCTCCGATTCGTCTATAAAGCCTCACTGGCCTGCAGCACGTCTATAAAGACACCCTGACCTCCAGCTCGTCTATAATTACTTCCTTGGCCATCAGCTCGTCTATAAAGACTAACTGGATCTCCAGCTCATCTATAAATACACCATGCCCTGCAGCTGGTCTATAAAGACTCCCTGGTCTCTAGCTTTACTATAAAGACTTCCTGGACTCCAGCTCGACTATAAAGACTCTTGTGAATTATTTTTTTACCATTTTTTGTTCATAGTTTTATTTTTTTTATTTTTTTATATTTTTTTTTTTAAGTTTTTATGTCTTTTTATATTTTTTTATTTTATTTATGTCATTCATACAAATAACATTTACATATAACACACACACACATACAACAGCACACATCACAGGACAATACTTAATATTAAAATTTATTCGCTACCAATTTTTTTTTCTAAACCGAATAATTTATATAATTTTTTATTGAAAATTTCATAAAATTGCACAACAACCCCCACTGGAATAGACGACGGCTGTGGGTCGGGGTGCGGCCACCCCCACGGCAACAGCAGGCGCTGGTGCAGCAGCACCAACAGCAATAACGGGTGGTGGTGGAGCCATAGCACCGACGGCAATAACTGGAGGTGGTGGAGCCATGCCACCTACCACCACAACACCGGGTGGTGGTGGCGGCCGGGCGCCAATGTTGATATTAACTCCAACTCCTACTCCGGGTCGAGGTGGTGGTGGTCCAAATACAGGTCCTGGGGGTGGTGGTCCAAATGCTGGTCCAGGGCCAGGTCTGAAGCCCGGTGGTCCGCCATATGGTGGTGGGCCACCCATCATACGTCCCTGACGTCCTGGTGGTGGCATTTTTAAGGGGATTTGTAGATGGAAAAAGGAAAAAGGAAAGCTGCTCCTACGGAGAGCTAGCTAATTTGAGTGGTTTGAGTGCTTCCGAGTTAACTACTGAACTAACAGCGCCACCGCCTTTGCACATCAAACAAAATGTGCGTCAACTGACCAGCCCGTCAAGCACTGGATATTAGTCGACATTTTTGTGGTTTTCATAGATAACAAAATGTGGAAAATCTTTGGGATTTAATTACAAATCAATCAGGGTCGGTAATTATGTGTGTCGTGGTGATTTTCAAATTTTTTTCATAATATTCCGAAAAAGTACCCTCACAGAAAACTGTATGATAGAAACCAATTATCAAATATTTTTTATCTTATCATTTAAACTCCAATTTTTTTTATGGCGCACCAACTGTCCGTCAAAGGTACTTCCCTGGCATTGGCTGTTATCTATTTACGCATCAGTGCGGCGGTCTTGTGGCCAACCAGTGTTGGAAAACGTAAATATTTGTGAATTTCTCTTATACTCACATTGGATTCATTTTCTCCAACAGCTTCGATCGTATACGATCTCTTTCCGATGCCCTTGTCGGCTGTGCCGGCCCAATCTCGTTTTGTCTCTCCCGTTCTATACTCGCCGACAGTTCGTTATTCATTTCGACATGATTGTGTTCCATTTCCAGATGCGTTTGCGTCTTGACGGTCTCGTATTTTCGGTCATCTTCGGCGAAGTTGAAAACTTCACTTAGTTCGTATTCTTTGAGCTGCGGGGGAAAAAGAAGAATATGAGAAAGAGAAAATTAATAAGGAATTTAGTCAAAAGAGAAAAAAAAATAGAAAATTGAAAAATATTTGTTGAACCCAGAGGGGTCTTTGATGGCTTTGTAGGTGAGGAGGGGGAAAAAGTCTTTATTGACTGATGTGGAAGTGTGGTGGGGGAAGGGAGAAGGACGTGTATGATATGTTTACATATGAGGAGCATAATGGAGAACTGAAAGGAAACTTTTGGATGAGGTTCGATGAGGTTTAATATTTAGTTAAGGATAAATAGTGCCAAAATCCTCTATTTTTAAAGGACAAGCAGAGCTATAGCTGTGGATTTAAAAAAAAAAAAATATTTTTCAAGGACGAACAGAGCTTCTGTCGCAGATTAGAAAAAAGGACTTTTTCAAGAACGAAAAGAGGTATTGTCGTGGACTTAAAAAAAATCAATAGCTAGCTCAATTCGAGAATAACTAGAAAAATTCGGAAGAGGCCTGTGCCCTTATATAGCAGAGTTGGATGACCGAAGTAGACCCCATGGGTCCGAGATACTTCCCTATGAGCCCCAAAAAATCCCCCTATGGACCCCAGGGGCATTCCCCTATGGATCCCAGGGCATTCCCCTATGAACCCCGGGGAATTACCCTATGGGCCCAAACCTCTTTAATTGCACCGGTTGCACAGTTTAGCAGAACGCGAACACATGCATGTACTACTGTTACAACAACAACAACCCCATGGACCCAAGGGGATTCCCCTATGGGCCCAGGGGTTCCTTTATGGGCTTCAGGGATTCCCCTATGGCCCCCAGGGGTTCCCCTATGGCTCCAGGGATTCCCCCATGAGGTCCTGGGAATCCCTCCGGTGTCCAGCCGGGCTTTAGCTAGTCTAGGAGAGACCAGCTGGCATTCTGCTCATCTAGAAGAGACCAGCTGGCCTCCAGCTAGTCTAGAAGAGACCAGCTGGCCTCCAGCTAGTCTAGAAGAGACCAGCTGGCCTCCAGCTAGTCTAGAAGAGACCAGCTGGCCTCCAGCTAGTCTAGAAGAGACCAGCCGGCCTCCAGCTAGTCTAGAAGAGACCAGCTGGCCCTCCAGCTAGTTTAGAAGAGACCAGCTGGCCATCCAGCTAGCTAGTCTAGAAGAGACCAGCTGGCCTCCAGCTAGCCTAGAAGAGACCAGCTGGCCTCCAGCTAGCCTAGAAGAGACCAGCTGCCCTCCAGCTAGCCTTGAAGAGACCAGCTGGCCTCTAGCTAGTCTAGAAGAGACCAGCTGGCCTAGAAGAGACCTAGGTCTAGCTGGCCTAGAAGAGACCAGCTGGCCTAGAAGAGACCAGCTGGCCTAGAAGGAACCAGCTGGCCTCTAGCTAGCCTAGAATAGACCAGCTGGCCTCTAGCTAGCCTAGAATAGACCAGCTGGCCTCTAGCTAGCCTAGAATAGACCAGCTGGCCTCTAGCTAGCCTAGAAGAGAACAGCTGGCCTTTAGCTAGCCAAGAAGAGACCAGCTGGCCTCCAGCCTCGTCTATAGGGACAAGCTGGCCCTCCAGCTAGTCTATAGAGACCAGCTGGCCTGCAACTCGTCTTCAAAGACTCCTTGGCTACCAGCTCGTCTCTAACGACATCCCGGCTCCCAGCTTGTTCACAAAGACTCCCTGGCATCCAGCTCGTCTATAAGGACTCCCTGGCCTCCATCTCATCTATGAAGACTCCTTGGCCTTCCACTTCGTCTAAAAAAACTCTCTTGACCTCAACCTCGTCTATAAAAACTCCTTGGCCTCCAGCTCGTTTGTAAAGACTCTCTGGCCTCCAGGTCGTCTATAACGACTCTCTGGCCTACAGCTCGTCTATAAAGACTTCTTGGCCTCCAGCTCTTCTATAAAGATTTACTGGCCTCCAGCTCGTCTATAAAGACTCCCTCACCTCCAGCTCGTATATACAGACTCCCTAGCCTCCAGCTCGTCTATAAAGACTCCCTGGCCTCCAGCTCGTCTATAAAGACTCCCTCACCTCCAGCTCGTCTATAAAGACTCCCTCACCTCCAGCTCGTCTATAAAGACTCTATAAGGACTCCCTGGCCGCCAGCTCGTCTATAAAGATTCATTGGCCTCCAGCTCATCTATAAAGACTCCCTTGACCTCCAGCTCATCTATACAGACTCCCTGTCCTCCAGCTCGTCTATAAAGGTTCCCTGGGTCTCCAGCTCATCTATACAGACGCCCTGTCCTCAAGCTCATCTATAAAGATTCCCTGGGTCTCCAGCTCGTCTATAAAGACTCCTTGGGTCTCCAACTCGTCTATAAAGACTCCCTGGCCTCCAGCTCGTCTATAAAGACTCCCTGGCCTCCAGCTCGTCTATAAAGACTCCCTTGACCTCCAGCTCATCTATACAGACTCCCTGGCCTCCAGCTCGTCTATAAAGACTCCCTGGCCTCCAGCTTGCTATACAGACTCCCTGGCCTATACCTCGTTTATAAATATTCCCTGGTCTCCAGCTCATCTATAAATACACCCTTGACCTCCAGCTCGTCTATAAAGACGCCCTGGGCCTCCAGCTCGTCTATAAAGACTCTCTGGCCTCCAGCTCGTCTATAAAGACTCCCTGGGCCTCCAGCTCATCAATAATTACACCCTGGCCTCCAGCTCGTCTATAAAGACTGCCTTTCGCTTTCTCTCTCCCTTCTTTCTCTCCCTTTTTCTATTTCTTTTTATTTTTCTTCCTTTTTAATTTTTTTCAGACTTTCTTTGTTAAAAATATTTACATTTTCTCCATATCACAGCCTCCTTGATTTCTCCTTAATTCCTGTGTAAAAATGCCAAATCAAGAATCCTTACATTTATGTCTGGGTTTAACATGCGGAAAAAATGCCGACAACATATAAAGGCATTTACACACACACAGAGAAAAAGAAACCTTCAAACACACTCCTGCTTTTGGAGATATGGCATATTAAAATCCATAATCCTATTCATGCCGATGATGCTAACTGTGAAAATTCTTTTGTGAAGTTACGGCTTGTTCTTTGCAGTTATCCTCAAAAAACATACATTCCAAAGGAACAAAATTTTTTGTGATTTTCCCAATAAACCAACTACAACAAGTGCAGAGATTTTTTCTCCCCAAACATTTTGAGCTAAGAAAATGAACAGAGGAAAAAAAAGAAAGAAATGAAAAATTGCTGTTCATTTTATCCTGAATAAAGGAAGAATTTTTCAGGGTTTTTTTTTCGTTTGGTCTTAACAGAGACACAAGGTGATAACAATCGACAGCTCAGCAGGAGTAGGCCAGGGCAATAAAGCCGGCCGGAGATCAACAGCCCAGGTTGTGGCTGATAACGGTGATGATGAGGATGACGATGAAGATGAGCATGTTGACAATGACGGGTGTGAATGTGTAAATTAGCCATGAATTGATGGCATAAAGAAATCCTGTTTAATGGGGTTGCCATAAGCTCCCCTTTCTCGCTCTCTCTTTCTCTGTCTCTCTCTCTCTCTTCATCACCGGGAGGCAAGGTGTATCATTTTTCGATATTTTTCTGCTTCTCCTATTTTTTCCTATTTTTCCACTTAATGAATTTTTATGGTATCAGCTTTTTCCACCTTTGCAATCAAAGAAGCCGAAATATTTTCACCCGAAATAAAAATGAAAATTTCTGCTCTATTAAATTTTATGTTTTTCTGCTGTTGTTTTTCTTTCCTTCAAAGGAAATAAATATTCATTTACGCTTGCAAGGCACCTAAGCAGGGAAAATGCCAGAAATTATTGGCCGAAAACAAATGTGTTTTACCAGAATACAACAGATTCCAAAAAGTTAATTTGTTTCCTTTGTTTTAGAAAAAAAAAAACAAAAATTGAAAACATTATTTTTGTTGCTGTTGTTTCTCTTTAATGCCTAATTTCCGTTACAATTTACAAAAGCTGAATGGCGTAATAAATTTTATTTCAATGAGCATCCTGACTACCCGAAGAAAATAGAGATAAAGAGAGAGAGAGAGAGAGAGAGAGTGTGAGTGAACATTTTGAATTTTCTAAATTGCTCGCAAATGCCGCCATCAGCTTTATGGCCATAATAGTATATTTCAAATTGTTATGGGCAAAATATTGAAAATAATTTTGAATTTTTTATTAAAATTTTATAGAGGAGTAAGATGTCTTCTCTTGGGGAAATGCTCAGAGGTTTAATTATAGAAAGCAACAACAAAAGAAAGCCAATGAAATTAAAATGGAAAATTTTAAGGAATTGAATTTTTATTGATGAGGATCATAGTGAAGAAGTGAAAGAGGCCTTGGCCCCCTCTATAGCCCGACTGGATGGGCAGAATAGACCTCGGGGTCAGTATATCCCATGGCGAAGCGACCAGCTGACTTCCGGTTCTTCTAAAAGAGACCAGCTGGCCTCCGGCTCGTCTAGAGGAGACCAACTGGTCTCCGGCTCGTCTAGAGGAAACCACCTGGACTCCGGCTAGCCTGGATGAGACCACCTGGCCTCCAGATAGTCTAAAAGAGACCAGCTGCACTGTAGATATAAAGACTCCCTGGCCTCCACATCATCTATAAAGACTCTCTGGCCTCTAGCTCGTCTATAAAGACTCACTGGTCTCCAGGTCGTCTATAAATATTCCCTCGTTTATAAAGACACCTTGGCTCCGAGCTCATCTATAAAGACTCTCTCTAATAGTTTATTTCAAATTGTTATGGGGAATATTGAAAATAACTTTGAATTTTTTATTTAATTTTTTTAAAGGAGTAGGGTATCTTCTCTTGGGAAATAAGACCTCTTTTTGGGGAATGGGCCAAAGTTCGTCTCTAAAAGACAATGTGGTTTTTCAAATGGCCGGAGTTCGGATTATAGGGAACCAAAGAAATTAAAATGGACAATTTTAAGGATACTGAAGAGAAAAGTACTTTTTTGTACAATTGTGGCACGAAATTGCCCTTTTTCCTGCACACTGTAATTGTTGTTGCAGCTATATTCCTTGTGTCACAAATTTGGTTCATCTGCCCAATA